TATTATTATTATTCAGTTTGGTCAGCACAAGTACCAGTTTTCCACTTGAAATTGTTTTGAATTTTACACAGTCTCCTCTTCCACACCTCTAATATCTTGTATCCTTAATCATGACTTAATTATCAACTGGATTTTTTTACTTCTAAAAGAACATGATAGCAAATACTTGCACAGCAGATTACAAGCAATCCAAATGAGAGAGTCTCATAAATTTTCCTGTAAATAATATGCACAAATATTTCTGAATGAATAAAATTCAAAATCCAAAGAGAAAACCCCAAGAGGTTAAACATATACACATCTGTAGCTAAGGAAAAAATTGTGAATATTTTAGTGACATTATAAAGGCAACATTTGGCACACAGTGCTGTTCATATGAAAATATTATCAACCTTGGTTAAACATTAAGCTGATCATATGCTTTACATAGCATTTATAAAAAGATGAAATCAGCCACTTTGATCTTCTCCGTTGGGTCTTTCAGTTCTCTTCCATTTTCCTGGTACTTCTAAACTAAACATTCCCCCGCCCCCAATCAAACAAGTCCTTACATTCTTTTTAAAATGAGAGAATGGGAAATTAGATGATAACTGAATATAGATTTACCAATATCAGTTTCTAACTTATATGTTTTATAAAGCAATGTTGTTGTTTAGTAATTTAGTCGTGTCCGACTCTTCATGACCCCATGGACCAGAGCACGCCAGGCCCTCCTGTCTTCCACTGCCTCCCCGAGTTTGGTCAAGTTCATGTTGGTAGCTTTGATGACACCATCCAACCATCTCATCCTCTGACGTCTCCTTCTCCTCTTGCCTTCACACTTTCCTAACATCAGCATCTCTTCCAGGGAGTCTTCTCTTCTCATGAGATGGCCAAAGTATCGGAGCCTCAGCTTTAGGATCTGTCCTTCCAGTGAGCACTCAGGGTTGATTTCCTTCAAAATTGATAGGTTTGTTCTCCTTGCAGTCCAGGGGACTCTCAAGAGTCTTCTCCAGCACCACAATTCAAAAGCATCAGTTCTTCGGCGGTCAGCTTTCTTTATGGTCCAGCTCTCACTTCCATACATCACTACAGAAAAAACCATAACTTTGACTAATCGGACTTTTGTTGGCAAGGTGATGTCTCTGCTTTTTAAAATGCTGTCGAGGTTTGTCAGCTCTTTCCTCCCAGGAAGCAGGCGTCTTTTAATTTTGGGGCTCATGTCACCATCTGCAGTGATCATGGAGCCCAAGAAAGTAACATCTGTCTACAAGAAAGAAAAATTCTTCTATGGCTTATAAAGCCATAGAAGAATCCTAACCTAAAACTGGTGAAAATAATTCTACAACTTGGGGAATAATAGTTTGGATTAGGTCATCTACATTCTCTGTATAATGTGAAGATAAATTATTACATGCTGTCAAGTTAGGGTTTTCTAAGTATATAGTAGAATCATAGGTAAAGGTAAAGGTTCCCCTTGACAATTTGTCCAGTCGTATCCGACTCTAGGGGGTGGTGCTCATCTCCATGTCCAACCCATAGAGCTAGCGTTTGTCCGAAGACAATCTTCCATGGTCACATGGTCAGCGTGACTAGACATGGAACACCGTTACCTTCCCATCGTGGTGGTACCTATTTATCTACTCGCATTTTGCATGCTTTCAAACCGCTAGGTTGGCGGGAGCTGGGGCAAGTGATGGGGGCTCACTCCGTTGTGTGGATTTGATCTTAAGATTGCAGGTCTTCTGACTTTGCAGCACAGAGGCTTCTGCGGCTTAACTCTCAGTGCCACCACGTCCCTAACAGTAGAATCATAGAATCATAGAGTTGGAAGGGGTCTATAAGACTTTTCTTATAGACTTTTCAGGAACCCAAGCCCCTGCTCAATGCAGGAATTCAAATCAAAGCAGGTCTGACAGATGGTTGTCTAATTTTCTCTTGAATGTCTCCAGCATTGGAGCACTCACCACCAATGGTTCCACTGTTATACTGCTGTAACCGTTAGGATGTTTTTCCTGATAATCAGCCTAAATCTGGCTTCCTGTAATTTCAGCCCATTATGTGTCTTGCACTCTGGGATGATTGAAAACAATCCTGCCCTTCCTCTGTGTGACAAACTTTCAAGTATTTGAAAAGTCCTGAGACGTGAAAACAATCCTGCCCTTCCTCTGTGTGATAAACTTTCAAGTATTTGAAAAGTCCTCAGACGTCTTTGCTCAAGGCTAAACATGCCGAGTTCTTTCAGTCTTCCTCATAGGGCTTGGTTTCTAGTGCCCTGATCAACCTTGTTGCCCTTCTCAGAATTTGTTCCAGTTTGTTGGCATCCTTCTTAAAGTGTGAAGTCCAGAACTGAGGCCTACCAAGTGCTGAACAGAGAGGAACTAGTACTTCACCAGGTTCTGTTAATGTAGCCTAAAATAGCAGTGGCCTTTTTTGCAGCCATATCAAACTGTTGGCTCATATTCAGCTTGTGATCTACAACAATTCCAAGATCCCTCTCTCATAATTTTATTGAATGAAGTATTCCCCATCTTGTAACTGTGTGTTTGGTTCCCCCTCCCTGAGGTGTAGAACTATTCACTTTCCCCCTGTTAAATTTCATTTTGTTGTTTTCACCTCAGTGCATAAGCCTATCAAGATCTTTTTGAATTTTGTTCCTATTTTCCAGAGTATTAGTTATTTTTTATCATCTGCAAATTTGATAAGCATTCCCTGCCCCCACTCATACAAGTCATTAATAAAAATGTTAAAGAGCACCAGGCCCAGGACTGAGCCTTGCAGTACCCTACTTGTTAACTCCTCCCGGTTTGAGAAGGAGCCATTGATAGTACTTTCTGAGTATAATTCTGTAACCAGCTCTGCATCCACCTGACAGTTGTTCTATCCAGCCTACACCTAGTTAGCTTGCTAATCAGAATATCATGGGGCACCTTTTCAGCGCTGAGAAGCATCAAAGATCATAACTAGATGAGGAACACAGTCCACTAAACTGCAAAACCCCATATATTATACAACAGTTTCAACAACAGCATTATTTTAAAGTATGTGTTCTGGCCACAGTCAGCTTTTTCTGCAGGTCTCCCTGTCTCAGATTCTCAGCAAAAAGAGCTCTGGTTGATAGCAAAGTATGAGAATGAGATTGTGCTTGGTCCTCTATTCTAAGTAGGTTCCCCTGCCCCCTGAAACTTCATATTATATATCTCCATGGGTGTCTGTCAGCTATACACATAGGAATCATTACAGCATTCTGTATAAAAGTTGGTTACAAGAGTCTTTATTTTGCAAACTATACATAAACATTAAAAAAATGCAGTAATGTTACATAAGATAATCATTAAATTTAGTGTTTAACCTATTGAAACTGAATGCAAAGAAGAAGAAAAATTCTTTCAATTAACTGCAGATAAAAATCAGGGGAAACAGGAATTCACAGTTGAAATTAAACAACTGCTTGCATAATATTACACAGGTTCTTTCAATTTTATTATGGCACAAAGCCACAGGTCTGATATGAATGAAAGTAGTGGAGTTTCAAAACATCTTACACAATTAATTAACATGCTAACATAAATACAGTGATTAAAATAATTTTCTCTACAGTCAAATTTTGAATGCAACTCTACTTAAGAATTATAAGGTATTCTACATGGTAATTACATAACAGAGGTGATGGGGGAGAAAATAACCTATTTCTCCATTCCAGCAGCAGTACCTATATTGATATTAAATTTGGAATACTCGGCTATTGCCTAATAATCTTATATTGGTATGCATGCTATAAATCTTCCTATTTCTATTTTGCAAGGCACCTTACAATAACTCATCTAAAGTTTGTAACTGGCAACCAAAAAGGGGAAGAATGAGAACAGAAATGCAAAAGTAGTTGGGAACTGAAAAACTAAAACCCCATAGTTAAGAGTTTGAAAGCATTTCTTGGAGGAAGTATCATTCTCAAGTATAGTTTTATATAAACATATTCTTTATGCAAAGTTTTCCCGTTAAAATATGTTAAACTAATTTTGAGGTTAGAATGCTATAGAAAAACAGTACAATAAACAAGGCTGCTTGCACACATAACCAGCTTATGCAATTTTGAAAATAGCTGGAAAAATTGAGAACAAAAGGACAACAAAACTTCAGATTTGCAGAATCTATGATTTTGGAGCTTTTACTGCATTTAAAACTTAATTCAAGACCTTAATAATTTTAAAGTCAAAATGTAAGAGTTGCAAACACAAAAGAGGACCTGACCACTTCTTCCCTAGTCACAGCTTCTCCCTTCCTCTTGCACACTGTAAAGCTGGCAGCATGTTTTAATCATACTTTCCTTGCCCTGCCCAAGCATATTTTGAACAAAAGTCCATACGATCTAAATCATGGCTAAAGCTTATGTTGCTTTATTTATAACACAGCATTTGCTGGAAGCAGCCATTAACACATATTCCCAAATAGAAGATGCCTTTTTCACAGATGGTTTTAAGTTTGGTTGTCCTTGTGACTATCTGCACATTTATGAGGTTTTTGTTTTTTAAGTGTTTCTTTCTTCAGTCTAGATTCCTGTGTGTTTTCTTCTGCTCAGTGGCATATAAAAACAACACATAATATAATGATTTTCATTTAAACAAAGAAAGTCTATGACTCCAGCTGCAATATTTCAAATAATCATACAAAATATACATGTTATTTAGAATCCTTTTGATTTTTGAGGATATAGGAATTTTCTGGGTTGTCTTGTAAATTTTTAGAAAGACAATTTTAGTCATAGCAAAAAGCTTCAAATATAGCCTTCATGATCATCATCGTCATCATCATCATCACCTTCATCTTCATCATCATCTTCAATTTCATCTTCATCATTTGTCATATCATCATCCTCATCATCTGTCCATTCATGGAAATCACCACTGGCAAAATCGCCTGATGTTTCTACATCAATAGCTAAGAAAAATTAAAGTTTTGTTATTTTGTGCTAAGAATATAGTTTCACAGATCAGATAAACTTATCTGTTTCTAATGGTTTAGCCACAAGGACACAATCTGATTAAAGGTTCTGATCTTAAAGAATATCAGCTGGAAAAATAAAGCACCTTTTCTTATTCCTAATGGAAAGCACAGATTGTAATCCTATTGCTCGGCGTAATATATTTCACTCAAGTAAACTGATTGGTTCGGTGGAGATTTGATGAGTCAACCCTTCTGTAAGTTCCATTGATTCAAATGGCCCTGCTCTAGTTGTGACTTACTACACTAAAGTAAGTCACTAAAGTAAGGCCTATTTGAATCAATGGAACATGCAGAAGAGTGGGCTCACCAAATCCCCATTGATTCTGTAGGCCTACTCTACAGCCACTTAATTACAGTATGCTTAAGAAAATGATTTCAGCCCACGGAAGATTTCTGCGACTTACCACAGTTTGCAGCACCATGTGTTCTGGATCCTGTTACTTCATTGCCATATCTGTCAACACACCAACACTGCCCAGCACTTCCATGACACTGAGTTGGTTTGTAGTACCCATCTTCATCACATAAGGGGATATACTGCCCTGTGCAATACATAAAAACATTTGAGCAAAAACAACCAACTACTGTATTTATGATCGGATGAACTAAGCAACAAGTGAGGAAATGTATGATTTTTCAGATGTACCTGCTCTTGTTAACACTAATCAGAGTATCTGTGGAACAGGTGAAGATGTGGAAGTGTATTAGAAAGGAAAAAACTCCTGAGTAAGTAAAAATTCATCTTTCACAAGCTAGCAACTGTCTTTACAACTGAAAGATGCAGAGAAGTTATAAAACTGTGAACTGGTGACATGACCTTTCACACTATAAACCATTTTTTCTGTAAAGTCAATTAACGATTTAGAACATAAATATCTGATTCAAAAGCCATAATTTTTCCAGACATGTACAAGATAATTGAGTTCAGATTTAATACATTGCTGCTTTTTATATATTTGTATTTATGAATAACTATGACAGAAAAAGACAGTTTTCATGTCATAAGCAAGCCTATATACATATCTCCTTAGTTATTAAAGTAAAAGTATTTCTAGAAATTACTGGCATTATGTGCAGTGAGAAGGATGGCAGGGTCGACAGCGTCCCTGACAGAGCACCATCCCTCATCCATGGAGCAAGTGGGGAGCCCAATTTGGAGATCCCTGAGACTGAAAAAAAACAACCCCTTCAACAGAGGAGCGAGAGCCAAGCAACAAAGGAAAACTGCTAGGGATGATGGTGGAGGAAGTAGTAGAACAGACAGAGAAGTTGAAGGGTCCAGGAGAACAGATGACAGGTCCAGAACAGGGAATGAGTGACAGAAAACCAAATATGATAGGACAAAAAGGGGTGGAGCCAGAGAGTCAGTTAGAAAAGGTGGGAAAGAAAAAAGGGGAGGAGAGAAGTGGCAGTGGCGGGAGAGGAAGGAAAAGGTTGGTGGAAGCGGGGGAAGCCGAATCACATAAATGTGGTCCAGGAGAACAGATGACAGGTCCAGAATAGGGAATGAGTGACAGAAAACCAAAGATGACAGAACAAAAAGGGGTGGAGCCAGAGATTCAGTTAGAAAAGGTGGGAAAGAAAGAAGGGGAGGAGAGAAGTGGAGGGAGAGGAAGGAAAAGGTTGGTGGAAGCGGGGGAAGCCGAATCACATAAATGTGGTGAGAAGATCTGGTTAGAAGATCCCTGGACAAAGAAATGGGAACAGCTCAGAGAAGAGGCTGAGAGGAGAGGGAGAGATGTAGTGCCAGTGAGCCCTTATTGGGGTGAGGAGGAGGTTCAGGAGTAGGCAAGGAAGATCAGGGAGGAAAGCGCCTGGATGGGTAAGGAAAGAAGAGAGAAGGGCAGATGGCAGAGGCCCTCAGAAATAACACTGAGACCTCAATGCTCGGGAATACTTGGGAGAAGGATTCAACAGGTCCACTTCAAGGGCATCTGGAGGGAATGGAGTGCCCTTGCTGTTGGTTCCACAAGATGCCACATTAATGGACTTCTCCTTGGAGAAAGGTTTTGAACTATTGGACTTTAATGTTTCAAACCTATTTCAGAAACCAGAAGCCAAACTCTTCCTCACACTGTTGTGTGAGGAAGAGAAGTTATGTATTACTGTCACTGTTGAAAGTTTCCTAGATGCACCTATAATAAATCCTGTTGGTACAATCCATGGTCAAGAGTCATGTGTTGCCGGGCTAGACGTGGAAGTAATGGGAAAAAACCCTTCTCAAGGTAACAGACCTTCACATGTGCATTGATACTTGTCAAAATGCATAAACTGGAGTGGCAAATTGCCACTACTTAAGAAGATGATGTTTCTATTGCTTATCGCACACTAGGTCATGCGACTGTTGTCACTATACTGTAATATAGACGAACTCTAAAGTTTAGGCATGCAGTGTTCTAAAATAACTTTTTATTTAAAAATTCTGTGATTTCTGTTACTTTGTTTCAGAAAAAAGTTATATTCAATATGCAGATGCACATAAATTAATTGAATTTTGATTCATACAATATTAATTGAAACAAATATGTACAAAATAAAAGACTTGGCAGTATTATAATTTTTTGTTCTCATTTTGCAATTAGACAAAGTTGCCAATGATTGTGTACGTTTCTAGAAACATGAAACTATGATTGCCACTTATTTTAAATACCATAACACATGTCTGAGTTTTGAAGCTATTGCATCAGTATTCGATAAGCAAAATTTCACAATGAAATTATATTCTTTAATTCTATTTGTGATCCTGCAAATACTGATATTATAGATAAAATATATTGGCAGGAATTGTCAGTGAGAACATTCAAAAACAGATGTTATTTTACTACAATGTTCTCCATGTTTCTTTTCCTAAGTGTAAAAGCTGGCATTCTAGTAGTGTAGTAAAACAGCTGTAATATATTAGAACTGATAAGGTTATAAAACTGAGTTTCATGGCTTTCAAAGACTTTATAAATTCTGTTACTGGAATTTACTTTGGTCCATCATTTTAGGATTCATATTGATTTTATGTTGCAATTTCACTGGAGTTATTTATGTAAGCAATAAAAGCTTCAAAAGAATGATCTATGACTTACCTAGAAGCTTCTTTCCTCCCTGCTGTTTCTGAATGTTGGTCAGCTCTGTCTGGCAAGGTGGGTCTGGAACGACATCAAATATGTCATATTTTAGTCAGGCTTGAGAAGTATGGAATGAAGTACTTAGTCTACAGTTTAATTTCAGGTATATGATTTCAAAAATACCTCATTCTCACTGGTATAATACTTATTCATGGTTGCAATATCTTAAGCCAGGCATATTACCACAAAGAAAGAACTGCTTTGCTGCATTGGCAAAAAAAGTACCTGAGCAGCCTTCTGATTTTATCAGTGATCATGTCAGAGCTTCCAGGAATTTCATAAGCAAAGCATGATGGTGACATCTACCTTTAGCTGTCCATTCCTAGTGTCAAAAATATATTGCCTTCAACCCAGCCATTATGGATAATCATCATCTGATAGACCTAGCAAAGTCCAACTTGTCTAATATTTGTTAAGCTATATCTTACTTGGAACTGTAACATCTTGGAGTAAAATAGTAGGTAACTACATATGCCCTAGATTCTAGAAAACAGATCTTTATCCATGTAGGATGGATGCTTTTTAAAATTATTGCATATATTATGAGTGGGAAGAATACACTGGTACCTTGACTTACGAACTTAATCTGTATTGGAACAGTGTCTGTAACTCGAAATGTTTGTAAGTCGAAGCACCATTTCCCATAGGAATGCATTGAAAACTGACTAATCCGTTCTGGCCGAAGGAAAAAATTCCCCAAAAATAAAAAAGTAAAACACTGCAAGCCCCATAGGAATGAGCTGGGGATGCAAAAAATAAAGCAAAATCCAGGAGAAAAGGAAGCCTCAAAGGCTGGCCGAAGTGAACGGGGCCGGGGCCAGAGAACTGGCCGGGAAGTGCTTGCCTGCCCACCCGCCCGCCTCCTCCCGCTCCTTCGGAGCTTTCCTCACTCCGGTCAGCAGCCATGGCTGCCCCCCTTGCTGCCCCTAGGAAAAAATAACAAAAAAAAAATAAATAAACAGAGCACAGCAAGCCCAGTCGGATGGTGCTCCGTTGCTGAGGCTTTAAGAAAAACCTCAAAAAAAACAACAAGAGCCACCTCCGTTGCTGAAGTTTAAGAAGGAAAAAAAACCCTCCAAAAAACACACACACACACACACACACACACACTAACCCCCACCCCCAGGCTTACAGATATATTCAGTTCCCAGAGAGGCAGACACACACACACTCACTCTGAAGCAGGATATCTCTCCCAAGCCTCCAACTGTGACAACACACTCTCTAACTGCTAAAAGTGAAAAAGCTACAGTACAAAGCAGCTTCGTTGCCACCTACAGTTAGAAATCTGAATTGCCCGGCTTTTCCCCCTGCCTGTTTCTGTTCATAAGTGGAAGCTCCGTTTGCAAGTTGAAGCAAAAAGTTGTGACCAGAGCTGTTCATAAGTCAAAATGTTCATAAGTAGGGACGTTTGTAAGTCGACATACCACTGCATTTTAAATAAATTAACAACTTTGTGCAATATTAATTCTAATTTTTCAGTGCTTATTTAATCAGCATACCTCCACTGATTTCATTTTAAATTAATAAATTCTTAAAAAATATATTTTCACCTGCAGCTGTGTACATGTACTTACTTTAAAAAATGATCACCTGTTTCAGAATAACAACTACATCTCAAAGCAAAAAGCAAGTGTGCTGCCTATATACCACTCTATAGTGCTTCAAGCACTCTCTGGGCGATTTATAATTATGCAGGCTACACATTGCCCCCAGCGAGCTGGGTACTCATTTTACCAACCTCGGAAGGATGGAAAACTGAGTCAATTCAGTCGGTTACCGGGATTGGACCCCAGGTCGTGAACACAGTTTTGGCTGCTGTACAGTAGTTTAACCACTGCACCACAAGGCTCTCTTTACCTTTATTATTATTATTTTTAAAAGTAAGATATTGTATTAAGATTTAACACCAAATTTTCATTATTTTTTTCTTGAGTCACTCAATACCACTCTATATAGTGGTATTCAAGTTGTGCTATAATATTCCTATTACTTCAGTTTGCAATGCTGGATTTACTCATACTTGTAAATTCCATATATTTTAGAAACAGTTCACCAAATTACCAGTAAAATAATTCTCATTTGTATTTACTGGCAGGACTTTATTTATGGTATATGACCTAAAAACATCAATAGTCCTTTTGGTACTATGGTTGTATTATACCTTATATTAACCCTAATATATTTTAATACTCTGCAGCCACATTGCCCGTCAAGTCCCAGAATAAAGAGGCAAGACTCGGGTAATGGGTTTAATTAGTGATACAACTTTATTAAACAAACTGTAATTTCTCACCTCCTGCTTTTGTAAAGGGGAAGAACCTGAGTCAGGAGCTAGGTATCCCAACCAAACTCAGACCCCAGAGGGCAAGCCTCACACCTAGGACTCTTGCTGTCTTTAGCTTGTCAATGGCTGGAAGATCTTCCTGAACCCACCTCTTGCCCAAGCCATAGGACATTAGCCAGGAGGTAGGAAGGTCTGGCTCCCCTATGCATCTGTTACCAGGGGTCTCCAACCCCAAGTCCGCGGCCCTATGCCGGTCCGTGGGCTTCCCAGGACTGGGCCGCGAAGATGGATCTCCACTCCCCACACACACATGGGGTGTGTGTCACACTCTGGGGGGGTCATGCTCACACGTGGGTATGTTGTGCTCGCAGGCGGGCATGTTGCGTTCGTGGAGGGTGTTGCGCTTGCGGGGGCATGTTGCGCTCGCTGTGAGCGTGGCCCGCCCACGGCCACAACATGTCCCCCATGAGTGTGACACCCCCCGTGAGCACAACACACCTGCATATGAGTGTGGGGGTGCCCCCAGAGCCCCCCAATTGGGGTTCCAAAAAGGTTGGGGACCGTTGCCTTATACCATCCCCCTGAATCTTATTATTCAAGGTGCCAATGTGTTGGATGTGGTAGCACGTAAAGATGTCAACTGGTAGCTTCCCTTCACCAGGTGCTTTTTTACATTTTATTTATTGTGTTTCTTCCTATGCTGGGGAAAAAAAAGAGAGAACATTTCCAAGAGCAGAAGTCTCTTTCACTTGCACTTGAAGGTGGCTGGATGGAGGATGAGTTTCTGCTTCCCATACATTTTTTATTTGATGTGCACCCCCCCCGATGCCATATCTCATTCTGTTTTGAACAGGGTCCCCTACCCATCACAAGTTGCTTTCTAGGGGCTATGGGGAGAAGTGAGATACACAGAGAAGCCCTACTTTAGGGATATTTATTCTTTGCTAGTTCCTCCTGGCTGTATTTTCCACATTCTATTTAAATCTCCCCATGACCTTGCATATGATTTATAAATAATGCTCCAAGCCAAGCAGCGTTAAATATCAATCATTGTCAGCTACTCTGTTTGCCTACCTTGCTGTCTCTGAAAGCAATAGCACCATTCATTGTTAGATATCAAGCTGTCCTTGTAAGTATCACAGGAATTGAAGAAAGACTTGGTACAGTGTTCATTCTTGTCAAGGTAAATGCTTCCAAGTTCTGACTGGTCCAATAGTAGGTCGTAGTTTGTATCAAGTCTGTTAAACATCCAGCCAAGGGAGTCCTTGCAAATTGGCAAAATACTTGTGTCAAATCCTAAGAAGAAGGAACAAGAGTAAATAGGTAAGAGAGGAAAGCACAGCTGGCACACAGCTTGGTCTAGCCAGAGAGGTTCTTTGTCATGAAAATAACTATATATATCCCCGCTCACTGTAAACTGTATTGATGATCAGCATATAATAGTAACATACTGATGACATAACAAAATTTAAGTAACAGAACTTGATACTTAATCTATCATGTAATTGTAAGGCGTCCAACTAAACATGGAAGGTGCATGGTCCCAGGATGCCCCCAGAAGAAAGGATTGGTAAATGACTTTTGAGTACTCCTTACATAGAAAACCATGGAGAGGGTCGCCATAAGTCAAAATTGACTTGATTGCACATGATGATGATGATGATTAATTCATAGCTGTAAGAGCACTTGTCAAGCCGTCTGTAAGTCAAGGGTCCACTGTACTCCTTACATAGAAAACCATGGAGAGGGTCACCATAAGTCAAAATTGACTTGATTGCACATGATGATGATGATTAATTCATAGCTATAAGAGCACTCTAATACAGTGTAGAGTAAAAATAAATCCCTGAAGACTATGATCATGTTTAGGACCTAAAATATAGAAGAAATTTAATTTTAAAGCTTTCATTCCATCACTGATCACTGTGGTATCATTATTTTGAAACATTATACCCTATCATTTTATAATCTGTATCCAATATGCTTCTCTCACATTTTCACATTTAATATCACGTGTGCTTTATCCTGTATTTTGTTAATGTGTCTCCATGTATATAATTGCAAATTTAGCAATGTCAAGCCTTTATGAAATGCTTTTAATATGAGTTGATCAACTTTCATATTCTCTTGCAAAACACTATGGTTGAAATCCAACAGTAAGTCACAAATAAAGAAGCTCTTTGAATCAATAGAACTTGCAGAGGAACTGACACATGAAATCCCCACTAATTACTTTAGTTTAGTTCCATCTTACGACTAGATTTCAGCCACTCTATAAAACTGAAACAAATGTAGCTAGTTGGAATCAATGTAAATGGCTTGTATGAGACTGGAAAACAGGACAATTTCATTACTCAACACTGAAAGCATGCTCAGTTACATCTCCTTTCACCTAATTTTAGTGTGCGTGACTGAATCTGAGGATGGGATTGCAATCTATGTTAGCAGGGATAAGTATTTATTAAACTGTCCATAATTTCTAATTATGATATGACTGATATAAGACTTCAATCTGGTATATTCTTACCTAGGAAAATCCTATTGAAATTAATGCTTTAATTCTGGGAAGGTTTAAAAAGAAAGCTCACCCACAGTTCATCTCATGACCACTGCCACTTTGCTGTTTTTCCTGCCTGTACCTGAAGATCTCTAACACAACAAATACATTATCTACTGTAGGTATCTCTTAAGAGCATAACTATGTTGTCCTCTGCTGTCACTCTTCCCTGTTTTCACAATAAATTAATGGCCAGATGGATTGCTTGCCATAAGAGCAATTTCTTTGTGTTCTCAAATTGTTAATGAAAGATCTTCAACAAGGAAATAAATTCTGTTGTTTGGACTGAATGATATACTGAAACATTTGCTTCTTTGTTTTTCCCCCAAGTAGCACAGACCCCAAAACAACATCAATGTTATACCTCATACAGATTTTTTTTGTAGTAAGAGAACTACTTCTTACTTTTTTGAATAATATTTGCGGGGTTTTGAGATACGTAAGGTGTTAACTTATTGGGCTTCTGTTTTAAAATGCATTGTTCTTAAGTGTTCAATGTGTTAAGTAACATTATAATTATTAATTTGATAAAGCCAGTTATGTTGCTTGTTATTAATGATATTATTTTTAAATTTCAAATATTTTTATTCTGCTTTTCTCCTTAAAAAGAACTCAGGCAGCTTACACCATTGAAAGACAATATTTAAAGCTGAAAACAATTATACAATGGTGGTTTGCATAATTAAAAGACAATATTTAAAGCTAAGAATAATGAGTATAAAGAGGCAGATTACATTAATAAGAGACATTAAAGCTTTTACGCTCCAGAGCCATTCCTCTCTGTGGAATACAGAGTTGTGTGTGCCATACATTTATTTATTTATTTATTTATTTATTTATTTATTTATTCATTCATTCATTCATTCATTCATTCATTCATTCATTCATTCATTCATTCATTCATTCGACTTATATCCCGCCCATCTGGTATATTCTACCACTCTGGGCGGCTGCTCCATCACAGCAGCTCACTGATGCAGTACCTGTGTAAGGTCAGAGGTGCAATTCCTGACACGTCCATATAGGGAAAGGAAATACTTGTGCCTGAACCTGGAGAAAGCTACTGCTAGTTGATGTTGATAATACTGGGCTAGAAGTACTAATTAACTATAAAGCCACTCCCAATACATCATTTGTGGCAAACCGAAGCTTTTTCAATGCCCAATACAACCCTGAAGACAGATTCAAAGGGATCCAAGTAACAGGTTGCCTACTCCTTTTGAGTAAATTGCGTCAAGAGGGGATATTTGTAACATGCTTCTGGATCTTGAGAGGAGTCATAGTCCTACTTTTTTAAAGCCACCTGCCACCACTCCTTCCGAGAAGGAAGACTTCGTTACTTTTTTGATCCACCCAGTCAATCCTCTCTGGTCAGCTCCTTCCAGCCACAACAAACATGAATCAAGGCCACATGTAATAGGCCAAATACCTTCAAGTGCTTTCCTCGTGTCACTGAGCCACCACTCAATATGGTCTTGAACCATCAGATTAGACAAATGCCAGGACATCTCCATTCTACTTGCAAAAAGGAGTGTGGAAAGTTCAGCCTGAATGCGAGAAATTCGGCCCTCAAGGTGCTTTGCAAAATTCTCCCCAGACTCTCTTTTAAAGCTCTCACTAGCACCCCAACCATATGAAAAGGTCCACTGGCCAGCATCTTGAGGATGTAATATTTGAGGAAAAGTAAGATTTCTTCACCTTCACCTCTACCAATACCACATGGAAGGCACAATAATGTTTTTTCATTTGTACTCTGAGCTGATATGTCAGCTATCTGCATTCTAGAGATAATCTGATATACATAATCTGGAGCCCTCTTCAGAACCAAGGAGCCTTTTGAGCTTCAGTACAGGACAGAAAACTTAACATTACCGTGTCAATGGCCATAACCATCTCACAGTAATCACACCCAGCAGGAGCACATGCCATACCAAGCAAAAAGTCCCTCAAGACAGCTTTTGAAATGCATAAGAAAAGATCTTCTACCCCTCCATGAGTGAACTGATTCCAGAAATCCACTCCTATTGAATGAATGAAACTGGGTTTGTACATCTACTGCTTTCTTTCTTTCTAAAAACAGATACAGTGGTGCCTCGCAAGATGAGCGCTCCGTTTTACGACAAAATCGCATTATGATGAAGTTTTTGCAATTGCAAAAGCGATCACAAAATGATGTTTCCTATGGGTGAATTTCGCTTTGCAATGATCGGTTCCCTGCTTCGGGAACCAATTCTCGCAAAACGACAACTTTCCTACAGCTGATTGACGATTTCAAAATAGCACCGGGTTAAAAAAATGGTTTTCTGCTCTTTGCTGGGACGGATTCCTCGCTGCACGGGCAGCGAAAATGGCCACGCTACGGAGGATCTTCGCTGGACGGTGAGTTTCAAGCCCATAGGAACGCATTAATCAGGTTTTTATGTGTTTCTATGGGCTTTTTAATTTTGCTTTACGATGTTTTCGTTCTACAGCAATTTCGCTGGAACGAATTAACATCTTAATGTGAGGTACCACTGTATCTGGAATGCAAACATAGCAAAATATATTAAAAGTCAGGCAAATTATTGTTCATGCAAGGTTAACAGTAAGATTTCGCAAGAACCTTTTAACATCAGAAAAGAGCAAATCAATATGAAAAAATTGTCCTTAAATATACATTTTGCTTTTGAGTTACGTATATAACTCTAGTTCAGTAAGTAGTGAGACCAGTGAAACTGTTTCTCAATGGCAGGAAGTTTCTTCTAAGTGGAAAGTAAGTTTCAGAGAGAAATTGCATCCCAAGAAATTAAAATTAAGTGCATGCAAGTGACTTTTCAAAACCTTATTTCTAGGTAGAAAACAGTACAGCATATTGCTGGT